CGCAACGCGCTCGCCGCCACCCCGGATACTTTAACTCCTAATACTTAGGTGTAATACATGTACAGTAAAACCACTAATTTAATTTTAGTTTGGAAAAATATCACTTCGGACTATTTATATAAGTCAGTTGAGATATATTTATGCTTGATAGAAATAGACAATTTAATCTGAACATTTAACTATGACGTTTAGTCTATTGTCTTTGGTTACGTTGTTCTTTTTTTTTTAAATGTCACAACCATTCTTGTTTAGAATATGTTAAGGTCAAAATAAAAAAGTACAAATAGTACAAACCAATTAAAAGAATCAACTCAGTCGATACTAGTTATTTATCCATGATCAACCTTCACATGGAAATAGCATTAACGTGACACGATCGGGCTCGTACGTTATTAATATACGGCGGTGCAGCGAAGCCTTGACCTGGCCTTCACATTGTCTGCCTCGTACGAGTGTACACACCCATATATACACGAATACAATTCATAGTAAGGTGCATTATAAATATAGCACTTTCAATGATAAATTCATTTGTACATTTCCCCTGTGACTTTTACTCAGCCTTCATCATATTACATCCATATTACATACATACATCATTCATATATTTTAAGCTATACTTCTTATATAGCTTAAAATATATAAGAACTCCAATTTTGAAATGAAAATACTCTTATACCTTATATTGCCACAGGCAGTGATTAAGATATCACTCTATGTTCTATGGGAACTATGTGAATGAAAATGAAAGTCATATAAGCTTATTTAACTGGCTTCCATTACACCCTGTGTTTAGACTCATGCCCATTCATGTAATCGGCGTTAATTATGATGCACACGTTTGGTTAACTAGATTAAGTATAAAATATCTACTAAAATTAACTAAGTTACGAAAGGGTACAATTTTTTTTTAAATTATATTTGTTAGTAATATTTAACTTAGGTCTAATATTAGTAACAACGTAGATAAAAGTAACAAATAGGACAACAATATGCTTATTGCGTATGTAACGCAACCATGGTGCATTATGTCTGTCATTTAGCATGGTTAGGATACCATTTGATCAAGACCGCATTCTTGTAAGGTTTTACTGCGCATAATTGCGTAAAATTCATTTGTTTACGCGCTACAAAATCGCGGCAGTCTCAACAGCAACTTAAAGCAATTATTGTATTGTATCTTGAGTGTCTATCGATCGCATAACATGTTTAGTCTACACATTGCTAGTACAAAGAGTCTGTCGGTATGCTTTAAAGAGCGTGGTTTAAAATCTCGACTACAGTGACCAATCCTGTGTCACAACATGTTGCCTCTGACCGCCACAGACCTTCGCTCACGTTCATTATCTGTATATAAAAGTCTGCATATGGATATCATACATATAAACGATAGATACGAGTCTATTAACAAATAATTAGGTAGGTCGACTTACTTTTGTACATTCATTAGATTTCAATTGCGTCCTCTTAGGTAACGTAATGTATAATTAGACAGATTTTTAGTAAGTAAATACTCTTATATTTTTTTACATTCATACTAGTTGTACTTTCTTTTAGTTCACCCTAATTAAGAAATATTTTTAATACAAATTTAACTGAAAATGTACGTTTACAGACATGAAATAAGATTAGTAACTTATTTTTTTGTGTGAAACGAAACGTTTATATAAGAGTAACTTAAATTCCCCTAGAGAAATCTTAATCAGCAAAGCTGGATTACTTCAAAGAAAAATAAGATCTTAGAAGCTGTCCCCGTCAGCCAATTGATTGTAAACACAATTAAAACCCGGAGTCTCCGGGCGACTTCAAATGCAAGATAAAAAATTTAAACGAAGAATATAAATATTTTTGAAGCCGTTTAGAATTATAATGAAGGAAGCAACTCCGACTTACCTCAATGTTTAACTTCTTATTCAAATTAATATAAATTACTTGTGAGGTCCACAAGTAATTTATATTAATGTGTGATTAAAAGTATGTTGTTTCGTACACTAACTAAGGTTTAATAAAAAATATATTCCGTTGTCTTAGGATGTCAGCGATTGTAATACAAATTGTCTTGTATCTGATAATTACCTTAGAAATGGCTTCTAAAATTAAAAGTTAATTATTAACTAGCTGACCCGGCGAACTCTGTTCCGCCTTAAAGGCAATAAATAAGCCGATTTTCGAATTTAGTAAGTTAATTTATTTATTAGAAAAATTTATTATATATATTTATTTATTATTGTTTCTGCATTTCCTAGGTTCCATCATAGGGTCATTTCCTGCAGTACATAGGTTGCTCTTCACTTAAGTACCTTGTGATACACGACATTTTTTGTTTTCTTATCCTATATCCATCTCCTGGCTCTAAGCTACCTCCTCACCAATTTTCAGCCATATCGGTAAAGCCGTTCTTGAGTTATAAATAGTGTGACTAACACGACTTTCTTTTATATATATAGATTTAAAATTTTGTTTTATCGACCGAAAAACCTAGAGGGGAAGTGATGACTTACTAGTTTATTCTTTGTTATTAACACGTCTGATGTAGTTTTTTTACCAATGTAGTTTAGTTATATAGGTACAGACGATATTTTGAGGTTACTTTAGAATATTGAAACTGTCAGTACGTTGATTGATGGACTAAACATATACTACGTAATCTTTTACTATTATTAGTAAACTCACTTTTGTCGGCGACTTCGTCTACGTGATGACCGAAATCAAACATCGTAGAAGATACAAATAATTAAACAAAGTCATACATCGAAGGAGAAACTAATTGGCTGACTGACTGATTCACTAACTGATCGATAAGCCTCGTTACCAAAGATGCAACTTAAGGTGGTAAGTTGTTTATGATAATATTCTTTTGTTAAACAACATTTCATTAGGTAAGGTTTATTTCGTTTTATGGGAACAAAAATTTGGTTCTGAGGAAAACCCTCTTTTCATAAAAACTAAGTTTTTGTGTGAAAAACGTTTTGTTTAATTTGACCAACTTCTTCTGGACTGATTTTTTTATTCTGTCAATACAATAGTTTTTGTTAGTGATTGATTCGGTTTATCTTAAAAACACAGAGCATTGAACCATCAGTTTTCATAGTGTAACCAGCCTCAGCACAATTTGCATGAAAATTTACCTCATCAATTTTAAAAATAAAAAGTAAAACCTAAAGGTTTTTTTTTAATAGTGACAGGAAAATTGTTCGAACCATGAGCACGTTTATCATTTTTTACACTTCTAACTTCTTTAATCAAATTTCATTCTAACTTTCAAGCCCCTCAAATAATGATGAATTCCCAAAAATCCCTTCTTAGTGAAAAACTCCTAGTCGTAACATAACGTCATATAAGGAACATTTATAATTTTTTATAAAATTTCATACTTTTAGACCCAGTGGTTTTAGGTGTGCGTTAATCGATCAGTCAGTGAATTAGTCAATCAGTTTCTAATTCTATATAATATTTAAATAGATGAAGATAAAAAATAAATATTGCGTCACGAACAAAATGTTAAGTCAATTAAAAATGGTGAATGATACAGTCGCTAACCAAAAATAGGATCTTTCGTTGCTGAACTTCCAACAGTCTAAAAAGGTCTCATGAATGAAAGAGGTCGGGTCACTCCGGTATTTCCGCTCCGACTAGAAAACTATTTCTATCCTATGAAATGATATAAATGACTGTCGGCTACAGCTTTATGTACGACTATTATTCGTGGCACCGTATTTTTGTAATCGGTCACCGTCACGTTTGTGGAACGCTTGTGAGCATATCTCCGGTTCAGTTAAGAGTCACAGCCTCATCTCTATTTGTTTGTTATATTATATTAGTTATAAAACAAGTGAAAATAGTTTCTAGTGCCTATCGCCATGATCAGTCTTCCCAATTTAATTTACAGAATCGCTTTTTGAGTACTAATTTGAAGTGGCTAATTTTCTCATGTAGTTTTCTTATGTATGTAGATAGTTTATAAAAAGTAGTAAAAAACTATCGTAGTAAAGTAAAGTGAATCTTAATTTAATCATAAAATAAAAGGGTTTATATTATTTAATATTACAACACTCCTTGCTTCACCGCTAAACAATTTCGTAGGCTCTAAAAAAAAATTTAAATGACGAATTAGAAGTCGAAATAGCGGTAACTTTATACCTAAAATTTACGTCGAATATTGTATGTCTTCTGTACAGCTTGTAGTATTGTTGTATTGCCTTTCCGACAAAGGTAAAAACGTATAAAACGAAGTTATTTTACCACTCAGTCGTAAAGCGTCTCAATGTACGGCAGACCATTTTGTGTCGGGTCATTGTGAATTTTGGAGCAACCGTGATTTCCTCACCACCTACATACGTACATTTCGGTTATTTGCCTTTTTTAGCGTTGAATACTTATTTATGCATAGTACGATGACCTTACCTAATAATTTTTTTTTTTTTTTTTGTTTCAGGTGTAGGAGGGGCCAAGAAGGTCACGTAATATGGTACGTCACTAACAATTATTTGTCGAATTTAATCAACAGGATAAATTAGATATTACATAAATGAGATCATTGAATGATTATGATAGTATCCATATTTGGATTCCAATTCATATTTACTGACATAGCCGACGTTTGCATAAAAGTTAGAAGTTAGTTAGTTCTTTAAAGGCAATAAAGAGATTATTAATCAATTAATATTTTTTTTATTAAAAACCTGGTCTTGTTTAAATGTAAAGAATCATTAATCGTAATTTTGACTGAACAGTAGTAAATCTACTTTAGGGTTAGGGTTTTAATTTCGATTAAAGCTTCGTCTTTACAAAAAATAATTACAATTGAAGATATACTCTTCAATTGTAATCATTTTTTATGTATGTTACAGATTCTATTATATTTCTTTCCGGAGACAAAATGAAACAGCCTTCGGGCGACTTTTATGAAGTACATTGAGGAAGCTGCCACTGTGATTTTGAGATAAGATGGCGTAGAGACGCCAATTGTAAGAAATGTGTTAGTTTGTTATGGGAGCTGCATGGAGTCGCGTGCGCAGATGACTCACTCACTGCCGACGAAACACAGGCAGGAAGCAACTTACAGAAGTTGCTCGCAGTCTCTACCGCTCGATATTCTGTGAGTACACATATAATTATTATTAATTTATAAACTATTTTATACAACGTGTTTGTTGATAAAATATCTGTAAATAAAAGTAAATGTACGATAAAGATTGTATACATAACGTTTAACGATATATAATGTATGAATATATAAAAACAATGTATGTGTACATTTATAAAATGGAAGTTTTAAACATAAGCCTGTTTCGCCCGACTACTTCTACTAATCTTTCCTCTTTCAAACAATTCTTTAGATGATAAGTGATTTAAATATAATAAGTTTATCAAAAACTCACTGATACTGTCACTCGCACTTTCCCATAGTGCTGTGGTCACTCTATTCAATTGCAAAATTACACAATAATACTACTATTTTAAGGCGGTTTGCCACGAGAAGACCAGCCAAGCGAAGGGCAAAAGCACTACCTACCTTTTGCCGAAGTGCTTCGTCGTTTTTGGAACTCTCATGACTTGAGTTTGGAATATACCAAACACATATACAACACAACTCTTAGCTGGCTTAAACAAGTTGCATGTTGTCAGAAAGTCACAGGCTTGTTGCGCGCCCTCTATGGGCTCAAAAACTTTCTGGGAACAAAAACTAAGATAATGCGTGCGACAATAATACTACCTATAATCGACTATGGTGTTGTGTGCTACTTTGTTCTGAATGCACATCTGCTCAATAAGCTTGTAATATGTTCACGTGTCTGAGTATCGCTCTCATATGAACTAGCTTCCAATTAGCTAACGTAGACAGACACGGACACTGACTACTCTTTATTCTTTACTCTTCTCTCTAAGTTCTCCTTCCCACCTAACTACTCAATTTCAATATGTCGGAGCACACCATTCTAAAAACCTTAAAACTTCGAACAACTTGCTTCTTCAAAGTCCCACTCATGGCTCTGACTTCGTACACTCTACCTTTTTGGTACTGCCTGTCCTGTTATGGAACTCGAGATTAGGACGGCAAAAACTATTTATTATATGTGTTAATATCGCTATTACTAAATGTATATGCATTTCTTACTAAAAATATTTTACTCGCTATCTATATATATTTGTCACAAAATCTCTTTTGTAGTTTCAGTGCATCTACCATGTTTTAGCTCTGCATCGCCCGAAGGTCGACTGGTAGAAAGTCGTTACGGCATTAAGTCATGAGCTATGAGCAAAGCCTCCTTTCTAAGGAGAGGCTTATGTCCAGCAGTGAACTATTAAAGGCTGTTGATGTAAGCATAAAGTATAAATTAAAAAAATATATGCTAGACAAACAAAATGTTCCGGCTATGATCTCAATAATGAACGTAATAAAATAAAATACGTAATAAACACATAAAGTTTCCATTGCACAGCTCTTATACTCTAGATTTAATTGATTTCGTCACTGACTCACTCATGATCATCAAAATTCTTGGGGTACTTCCTGACGCAGAACGACCTCCGTCCTCCATAAGCGCATCCCTGGGGGTGACAGGTGAGGCCATCTGTCACCCTAGCAGAAGCAGGCCAGGTAGCGGCGAGCGCGTTGCGAAGCGCGCTCGCTGGGAGCAGAGGGAACATGGGGTTCCCACACGGGTGGGGTCGTCTACCTGTTATTGTAGATGGCCCGAGGTATGTCGGGGCACCAGGGACTTCCTTTCTAGGGTATATCTGGTTCCCCGGCTATTAGTACCCGAGACGGCGTGCGGTTTTAGTCGGTTCGAGTCCTACATGCCACCGGTGGTATCCGAGGGGATTACCGCACGAAAAAAAAAGGGTACTTCCTGAAGTCCTAGAAAGCTGAAATTTGGTCTCGGTTTCGCTACAGTTCCATGGGCGTAAGCTGATTTTTTTAATGTTTATAAATTTTCTGTTATACAAAAGTTATTTTAGTAACGAACGGCCAAGCCACATATTTTGACTAAGGTGTAGAGTTTGTAAAGTTAGGGCTTGTAGAGTTAAGGTGTGTAGAGTCAGAAGTATGTTTCTACATTAGATCTGATAGCTTTTTCATAGTGCGAGCCATATGGTCTTGTTTCGGCAATATTTTACAAGCAACTGTTTTAGGTGGGATTCAACGTTTTTATTGTTCTCTCATTTATCTCAATTTTACATTAAAATGACATTTATATCTTTACAATTTATTTACTTCGCTTTGGAGTTTACTTAACGATAACTTTGTTTACTTCTTTACGACTCATATCTTTCCTGCGCGTTATAACTCGCCTAAGACTTTTAATAACTGAAATACATATTTGTATAATAATTTCTTAATTAATTCATGTACGCACGTAATAGTAGAGCAATAATATTGTACCCACTCGTAATTAAAATTGATTTTAGTTAGGCGATTGCTCTTTAGTATGAGTTGGCACGCTACAACAATTTAATAAATTATTTTTAAAGTCTCGATTTAGTACATGGTACCGTAATTTGCTTCATTAGCAATAAAATGAACCTGTTAAGGCGCTTAATGTGAAGTGTTAAACCTACGCAAGTTTCAAATGTTCATTTTACATTAAGAATATCTGATTTATAATGAATTAATGAACTCCCGCTTCTCTAATTCCTTATCTGATGAAAGTGATATGACGGAGGAGCATAATTGTCTTAACAATAGAATAGTACATGTATTGTGAAGATTACACATCATAAGTATTATATCGGGGGTCACGAGTAAGTACCAATAATACATTACTAATAAGATGAAATATTCTATATTGACATTGAGTTAAGCTTGCTTCACTGAAAGGTTCTTCTTGTGAAAGCTTCTTGACCGTGCCATATAAAAAGACGATCCTAAATGTATATTTAACTATATATTAATGGTTGTTTCGTAGCTTTATACCAGACCTACTCTTATATGTAATGTTTTATATAAATTTTGATAAGATTACTTATATTTCAATAATTTATTTTATTAACATAAAAACACATTTTAAAACAATAATAATAATGTATTTACTTTCCACAAGTTTATAAAGATAATGTTATAGTTGAAATATTACAAATAATCGCAAATAGTGCACTGCAGATACTTTAAAGGATACCCTCTGCTATAAGGTTGTACCAGCAGAAATATTATGTGTATAGCAGAAATATATATAATAATATTAAATTGTTTTTTTTATGTTCAAGAACCTTTTTAATTGTCATTATTGGCGAGGTACGTTTTGATTTTTATTTTTAATTCATCACAAATGTTTTGAGTACAGGAAGATATAATATTTAAAAACAAAACTGCTTCAACTTGGGAATTTAGAAATAAAACCTTAATTGAAGATTGAGCACCTTGATAACATAACAGATTAATAAAAAAAAGATAGTCATTTCTTTCTTTATAGAATTCTCCTTACGAATATTGTATGAAGGCTACAGGTGCTCCTTACCTTTTTCTCATGTATATGTGTCTTGAAAATACATTATTACCATCTGCTAGAGTTTCTAAGTGTTCGTAAGTGTTTTCCTATGTAATCCTTTATGAACTTCTTCAAACAACTTTAGAAAAGTAATTATTAGATTACAGAATTGTGAGCTCTAACACTGTTAAACTAGATCTTAGACTTAGACTTATGTTAATGAGATCTGAATTGCGTATATTATGTGTTTAAGAATAATTTCATAGCAACAGATAATTTTTATGAGGGAAACGAAAAAATTTGTAAAGTATGTCACAAGTTTTTAATTAATGAATCTTTCTCCACGGCCGGATCAGTCCGGTACTGCAAGAAAAAAAGCCTTAAAACAACAAAGATTGACTAATGTTGTAGGACCAAGAGCTGAAGAAACTTACCGAATCAAAACAGGTTTAAATAAACTTAAAAATATATTATTTCTAATGATTTATAAGATGGTCACTAAGACTTTTTTAGTTACTTCTAACATGTAATTTGAGCATGCAGCCTCATTCAAATAATAATATCCATACTTGGATCGGAAACAAAATATTTAACATCATATTGGTATTATTTGGTTATGAAGTCTCAACTGTACACTAACTATTTTGACACCATAGAGTTACACCGTATGTGATGATAAGCAGTAATTTACTCGTAATAAGAGGAGGCACATAACTTGGAGAATGTCAACTCTTCTTCTTTCAAAATTATCATTGCTCAGCAGCACGATAAAAAAAACTAAGGCAGGCTACTCAGTAAATAAATTTATAGCTTATTGATCGTGGGTCAAATATTCTAAAAAGGACTTCACTCTTTCGCTTCATGAAACCTGTAAGGTAAAAACCATTAACAGCTTACACAATCCATGTAACTTTCTTGGTATAATTTCGTACAACACTTGAATTTTGGAGACCGAATTTGTGCCAGCTCCCTTAGGAGACACACTTACCCGAAGTGTGTAAATCTTCAATGAATCGAGTTGGATTATTTACCTTTACTTGTCGGTCACTTTGTTGTATATTGTTACCTAATTTGGCGGTGATCTCTTATACCTTTTGATAGTTTAACAAGTTATATTTATTTTGTATTAAGTTTCTCTGCTTCTAGTTCTTGATTAAATTTTTTGGCATCTGCTTTTTTTACCATAAGAAAGTGTAGATATAAACGTTATGACGCATCATCTACTTGGGATATGTTAATTGCTACTATTAAATAATGAAAAACAGTCAGAGTTCATGACTCTACCTTATTGTTTGAGACGCCCTAATTATTCTCAACTTGATAGTTTTCATAGAGTAGGCAACTCGTTCATGTGACAATGTATATATCGTTACCCACAAAAGGATATTTTACCATTACAGAATATCTCAATGATAAAACCGCCTGGGATTGAGCTGCTTATTCTGTACATGCTGTTTTATTTTCAATAATCACTTTTATCCTTTATTTTTGTTTTTGATGTGACGTTAATTTATTATTTGTTACAAATTTATCTTTAATTCTATTTATTGATATTATTATTTTATCCTATAGTAAAAATTGTGACTCAAAATTATATAAATGATTATACTTTTTTTACTGAGAGATAACTGTAGTTGCACGTGAAGAAGATTGTTTTATTTTTAAGGAACTATAATACCTGAATTTGTTTCATCCTTTCTTTTTAAGAGTCCAGTTAGGAAAGACCGAACTTATTTGCTCTAAAAAAGTTTGACAACCAAGTGTTCTTGTAACCTATTTACAGAATAAACGATTTCATTTCTTAAAAACAAGGAATTCTAACTGACGAGGAAGTGCTATATGGAAAGTAAAAAAAAGTATTGTTTCCTGTTAAAGATTTTATAGTCCAATAAAGGGTTAGTTAGTGCCAATACTCTACTTTTTTGCTCAAACCTGGGATGGGACTTTTTTTAATTTACTTGGGTTTTTTTGGTACTTCATTACTCATAGTCTGGTTTTTAATTAAAAAGACTAAAGTAACAGCTCCAATCGACCTTTATTGTAAAATTGCTCAATTTAGTCGATTTTTTAACTTCATAGATTTGCACTATTAATAGGATAGGGTTTTTCCATAAATAAAATTATTATGATATCTGCCCAAAAAAAGTGATAGGCTTTTTTTTTTAATAAAGACGCCGCTACAATTGTAAATATTAGTAATATTTTATTTAACAATAATCAAATTTGAAAATAAACAAATAATTAATTAAAACTATTTATTTTTAATGAATTATCGCCGATTTTATTTACTACCCTGAGGCGATCTTCTGACCAATAACTTATGTAAAACACAACAACGCTTTCGCTGTACTTATCTGCGATTGTAATATGCATAATCTTTTCGCTAGTCAAATAAAATTAAATCAACTAGTAAGTGGATAATTTCGCATTGAACTCCTTTGTAAGTTATATTAGATCTTTGACATACTTTGACTTTATGGTTTCTGATTACAGCTTACCAAATTAAATGATAGTGCAGTTTTGTTAGGATATAAGATATTGAAATACGTATGCATGACTTTTATATAAGAACATACATAGATATTTAACACGACATAAGTTTATATTCTGAAAATGTCCCCACAATCAGTAGCATGATGTTTATAACAGGGGTGTTATAAACATCATGCTACTGATCAATGCAAAATATCAAACTAAAAAATAACGAAACTTCATTTTATTTGGATACATCACTATTTTTACACTATGATAACGTGGCAACCCACCAAATGTCATTTTAGTCTATCTAATTAAAAATCAGACCATAGACATTTATATTTTTAGGTCTTAGGTTTAATTGAGATTTAGTTGACAGAATATTGTATATCTTAAAAAATATATATGATTAATGCGGGTACCAACTAGAGCAAGACTTCATGGTAATTTCTATTTTTTTGGCGTTGGTGGATAATATGTATTTATCAACTCTTTTACCTGGTTAAGTAACGGTTTTAAGTTAATTATTGCTTTTCCACGAGACATTAATAATGAATTATAATTACTTATTGCCCACTGCGCTAAAAAGCAAAAACTAATAAATAACAGTAGTGCCCATAATACGTATTTAGAGGCAGTACCTAATGGGTTTTTATTTATTTATGTAAATATTAAGAGCTCTGTGCCCGATTTATTTTGATTTATATTTTTATTCAACTAAAGTCAATCAAAATAAGATTTCGTTCTTGTGTTCCAATAATTTGACGAGATGATGTTAATCTTAAGAAATGCTTCGCTAATAAGAGAATATTCAATAGCTTTTCAGTATTTCAGGAAGGCTACTCATTATGAAGTATAAATTTTCATAAAAAGTAAAAAATATTTTCTAAGATTTTTCACATTTTTATATGCTCTTTTAAATGTGTTTCTATGGGAATTTTCTAATGATCAGTCCTCTCTTAAACTGCCAATAACAAGGTGCTTTACCCTTCTTGTCTACCTTGTCTTTTACGGAATTGTTTTGAATATGTTCGAATTTGTTTTTAAACACAACAACATTTCAGTTCCCCACCTTTTTTTTCTGTGGGAAATCCCCTCGGATACCACCTACCACCGGTGGTACGAGACGTCGCGACGTCTCGGGTACGAGTAGCCGGGCAACCAGATGTACCCTAGAAAGGAAATCCCTGGTACTCAGTTCCCAACCTCCGCCAAAAACGAACATAGTCACACTATTTCTGTCAAGTTGTACACATTGGTCTGCATTACATCTGGATCTTGTAGGTTTACCATGTTATTATTTGGGGCAGACCAACACAGTACCCGCCTCTAGGCTCCAAAAGATGAACAAGTCTTTTCGAGGTCAAAGTGTCTTATTTTATAATAAAATCCCAAATAATATTCAAGAGTTAAGTATTAACAAATCTAAATCCGCAATAAAACGTGGCTTGTGCCAGAGGGCCTACTACTCAATTGTGGATTACATGGAAGACAAGAATGCTTGGGATTAATTAGCGCAGGCTATTTCTTTCTGAAGTAAAAATGTAATGATTTTTTTTTCTATTTTTTATGTTTTACTTCATTTTCTCTTTTATTCGTTTTTTTATCTTAATCTTGTTTTCTCTTCATTGTCTTTTTACCTTTTAGTCCTTAATAACGGACATACTGGCACACATCAAAACAATGTTGTGGTATATTTAATAGTGCCATTGTATCTATCTGTGAATTGCAAAAGAGTGGCCATGCGTTTGTTTGCCCTTTCTTCTCATAAGGCTCAACCCCTTCTAAACGGGCGGTTGTAGATGGGCACAGGCATATTATAGATTTTGTATGGGTTTGATTTTTTTTAAATTTATTTGCTTACTATTTGACAAAACAGAGATTTTTGCTTTTATGTGTGTGTTGATCTTTGACTTTAGAGTCTACATAAAAGACGATTGCAAATTTTTTTTAAAAAAATATGAAATAAAGAGAGTTTGAGTTATGGACAGTGGGGCGCCTGAGACGGCCGGCCTCAGGCGCCGTACTCTGGGAGTAAGTGGACCATGGCCCTCAAGCGCGGCATGGCGGGTTGATTGCGACTTACCGCAGTAAAGCCGCCAGCATGGCACTTTGTTTTATTTTTATGGGGTCGTCGTTCAGACGTCCACGCGGGACAGTCCTCCAGCGTGTGCTGGGCAGAGTCTCAGTTGGCTGCGGAGTGCTAGTATTGTGAATTCTTCTCGCGTCCGATCTACATCCGAGTTCCTGTGTCAGTCGGTAGATGACGCGACCTCCCTCAATACATTTCGCCGCATTTCGAGCCCGTCCTGAACCTTGTCTTCCCCGCTCTCACCACTAGGATATCAAAAGGCGGAAAACGTGCCAGGACTGTCGCTACCTCCGACGAAATGGTGCGATATCCTCGTACGATCCGAATGATGGCCGCTGCCCGCTGCGCTTGATTGAGCTTGGTTGTTGTGGAGTTGTAATAGTGTTGTGTACAAAGCCAACAGTTGCCTATACATATTGTCCTTTAATTCGAATGTAGGGCAAATTCGTAAATTGTGTGATATCCTTTCAACCTTCAGACAGTGTCGGTAGTGTCCAGCTATTATAAACTAACAAAATATAAAGAAACAAAGTAAGTCAAAATTGAACCCTCAAAACAAATTGAAAGTTGCAGCAAAATAAATGACTACTATTTGATGGTAAATAGTAATAAATACCTTGGTCAGCAAGTTTTATTACATTGGAGTTTGGACAGATATTTAATTCAGATATAATCTCAAATCAGAATAGAACGGATTCTTATCAAGGCACAACTGAAGGATTCCATTGGTCGTCCATTCAACCTTTTACCTCAGAAAGAGATGTCGCCTGATGATATAGAAGGCAGCATTGTATTTATATGATAGTGGTAAGAGGGGTCATAAGAGTCATACAAGGAGCACATACCTTGCTGGTAACCACCTATAGTAACTACTATAGGCGGTTACCAGCAAGGTATGTATAGTCAAAGAAAAAAGAGGGTTTTGGAATTTGTCTAAGTTGATTTGATGAACTTAGCAGCATCCAGTAATTATGCTTATTATTATGACACAGGTCATTAAATTTTATTTGATGGTTAAATATTAACACAGATGGTTGCCGCGGTCGTCATTTCGGCCGGCGGAGGGCGAGCTGGCAGACTGCGTGCTGGTGGTAGGGGTGTCGCGGCCCAAACTCGCCGCGGCCCTGCTATCCGTCACGCTACTGTCACTCTTCCTCACCTTCCACGTGCTATATGACAGCGCTTTATATAGCATACAAGTAAGTTTTATCTATAAGTCTATCTATAAGTAAATAAGTATTCTATCAGTCAATCTAGCTTTCATAGTACAAGCTCTGCTTAGTTTGAAACTAGATGGCATTATGTTAGATGTCCGTAAATGTTGTTGTTATTATTATTACTATTATACTCTATATTTCGTTAAGTATACATATAAATTACATATTTAAAGATATTTATGAACAAATAAAAAAAAAATATATATATATATAACAAATAGTGTGTGATGGGACACATGGTATCGGGTACAGGGACCAAGATTAATAAAAGATTTATTTTAGTTCCTAAAATTTAGACTTAAAACTTATTATATATTAATTTTTGTCATGAACACATTTAGTACTTTATCTTTTGCCTTTGTTTAAAGAAAATGGCATTTTCAAATAAAATTTATAGAATACGGATCATTGGTATTTTTTTTTTATTATTACCTTGCTGGTTCCCTCTTAAGACTTTTCTTTAAAAAAATATAAAATATTAGGAACGATTAACACAGAGAAAAGTAAACGCGAAAGTTATGTAATGAAACATGCGCTCATGTTATGGAAGCATTAAGTACATAAAATTTTATTTCATAAGGGTTCAAACATACACGACAATTTGAAAGAATAAAACGCTTCATATAATAACCTAGCCATTACGATCAAAGCAGAAGACACTGTATGTACCAGCGAACAATAAATAAACACAAACATATCAGCGTGAGAATATAAGCTTGGACCCTTTCGGTTAGGCCGTTTACTTGAGCTGGCCGACTTCCGGTCCGCGTGTCGTGTCATAAGGCGCGCCAGCCAAGCCTTCGACCGATGCCTACCGCACTCATAATCGTAATTAATGTTCTGAACTATTCCTCGGTAGATAACATGACAGCACCACCCTTTTTATGACACCCTTGTTTTACATTGATACGGCTTTACGATATCAACAAGTAGAAGCGTAACTAGGAATACAGAACATTAAATAGTCGACTAGCTCACGTCGCAAAACAGAATGGCTTTAAAAAACTATAGTGAAATATAGGTGAGCAAGTAAAACATTACACAAAGATGTATGTGCAAATAATGTACGTTTTAATGTTGTTTCCGTGTTTTCTCACGAAATTATTTTGATCAGCCCATATAAATATTAAATACTAGTTAATTAATAATCTGTTATGGAATTAGCAGCGTACCTCAGAAATTATTGGCTGGATTAACAGATTAAACAAACAGAGATAATTGTGGATTATTCCAATTGTATACACAAAGCAAAGCGATTGAAATATAAGAGTAACTGAGAAAGGAACATTGGCTAAAATAGCAACTGTTTAATGTTAGTTTTCCCCTCTGTATTTCGCAACTTTGATGTTTCGAACTCATCAAGTCATTGGAATTGTGTTCGAATTGAATTTATCATTGGCAGAATTTTCGAATTTACATGTAGTTGCGATAAGGGACCCAATTTATTACAAGGTATATCATATCGCTATAACATTTTATATAGTAGGTAACCAGGAAACAAAGCACAAACCCCCGTGTTATAGGTACACCTTTATACCGTGCCATTTAGTTGATATATCGATCCATTAAATATTTGTTCTTCTAGCTAGAGCTAGTAATTTGCAAAGTTTGCATTTGTGCGCGATAAGTTGAGACCTGGAGATTTTCCAATATTGGGTTAATTGAACAAAGATTGAAATAAAGGCCAGAAGTTTAAAGAAATGACAATAACAGTAGCATCCCATAAACAATATCAAAAACTTATTACGAAACTACGATAACTTATATTTGTTCAAAACTACTAAAACACCACTACTAGGCTAGACTATGCTTAGAACATCAAAAGTGTCATTTAGGATAGCATTTTTTAACTTAATTACAACAGTATGGCAATTTTGAATACTTCATTGACCTTACCAAATATCCGTATATCGGTGGCGAACCGGTTGGAGTCCCTAAAATGTGAATGAGTGCCGTGATTACTGAATTATCTAGTCTTCTAGGTGTTGTGACTTATCAGCTTCAAACTAAGATGGTGCTTACATATAAATCACTCGTTCACATGACACTTGCACAGTTTGGATTCACGTTGACTTAGAATTGAGTTTACAACGGGGTTTCTTCCCAATGCTTTGAAATGACCATTGCCTTGAAATCCCAGCGGCACTTACTATAAACAAAAAATAAAACGAATAGACCTATTTATAAAAAAAAATATTTATCATTTTAATCATCACTGCTTCTGACATAAACCCTGACATCATTAAAACAGTATTTCATATTCTCGTATAAGTACATAAATTTGAAAATCTTTATCTGTTTTAGGCGGCCAGTAATGCGGCAGTAAGTAAATTAAACCACTGTGACGATAATGAAATTGATTCCGACTCATACGTACTGTTCCATATTCAAATTTACTTTCCTTAGGCAGCCAGCATGGCATCGGCTGCAAGCGAGGAAAGAAAAATTCTGCAAAGTCAAGAAAGTAACATACGAACAATAAACCACCCAATGACGTTAAGGAAACGATTGAGACCACCACGACAGCCAAGGCCTGCACGCAGACTCCCACAGGTGAAAATAACTTTCACGGTTTGCTACTCGCCTAAACAATTGTTAATCATACGAATAATATTTCCAGTTCTTGATTTAAAGAAATATATTTTTTTATAAATAACAGACAAGAAAATTCTTTTTTACTCACTTAACTCAGGCTTAATAAGACAATCAAATGTTTGAACTGATTTTTGTCTCCTTAGCTAACATTGTATGGGTTTAATTCAAAAATTTATATTATATTTTTGTTGTAGGCATTAATTATAGGCGTCCGGAAATGTGGCACCCGTGCTTTACTCGAGATGTTGTACCTCCATCCCATGGTACAGAAGGCATCAGGAGAAGTTCATTTCTTCGATCGCGATGAGAACTATGCGCTGGGATTAGAATGGTATAGGAGTAAAATGCCGCTATCTTTCAAGGGGCAAATCACTATAGAAAAGAGCCCCAGCTATTTTGTTACTCCCGAGGTAAGGAAATTATTTACATTGAATAATAACTGTGACTTTTTTAAATGGGTACTTATTCATAGATTTGCCTATAATGAGATTTCTGACAGCGCTAGTCCCTTAAACCACGTTCATAGTGTTGCACCATTGGTTCTCACAATTTAAAACTTAAGTAAGTTCGTTCCTTTCATTACATAAAATTATTTAATTACTGCAGTATTGTAGTACGCAGTATTAAAATCTATTAATAGTTCTTGGCAATTAATTGATTTTCTCACGCTATTGTGACTCATAACTGTTTGTGTTTACTACTATTACGTCACCAGCTTTACAAAGATTGCTCAACTTTAGCTTTTTATATCATCTTTTCTATGTGTGCAGTGCCAACAAGCGCATAGACTTAATGAATCACTGACCACTTAATATTTATAGATGTATACCAGAGCCTGTGTATGTATACATACACAGGCTCATGTATTATTTCTGTTTTTTTTTTGTGATATCAAGCGTTAGTGAGTTAGAGCCGTGCAAACTTATTCAAAAATTATTGTTATTTTATCGCAGTGCTTTTAAAAGCTTTATGTTTATAGGTACCAGAACGGGTCAGAGCAATGAACTCCTCAGTCCGTCTACTATTAATAGTGCGAGAGCCAGTGACGCGTGCTATCTCAGACTATACGCAACTACGAAGTCGTGCAACGCCGTCGCCGCCTGCGCATCTACAAATCCCAGGCCATCCCGTACCGGACGCTGCCAAGCCTTTTGAACATCTTGCTATCTCACCAGATGGTTCTATCAACATCGCATACAGGTTAGTAAAAAAGAGTCTCAGTGTCCTGAAGCCAGGCATTAATTGTAAATGTTTGTTTTATATTAAGAAGGATTCTTACCATAGTCTATATTGTGGTTTCCTTTATATTCGAAAAAAAAAAATTAGTCCACGTCTGTAAGTATAGTATCTGTTAATCTAATATAGAGAATCTGTTTTATTTAAAAAAATACATTGTTACATAAAAGTAGAAGTAGTTCAAGATCCATAGCGAAGAACCTTCTTTGGCTTCTGCCTTGTATAGAACTTATCTTATCTTTAGTGGTTATGATTAGAAAGCAGCTGATTACCCCCTACTAAATGATCACCCTCAAATGTGTGTATTTTGTAACAGGCCGATAGCCATATCTCTATATCATGCTTATCTCCATCGATGGCTGGAAGTGTTCCCCCGAGAACAAATTCTGGTCGTCAACGGTGACTTACTTATTGAGGATCCTGTGCCACAGCTCCGACGGATCGAGAAGTTTCTTGGAATTGAACATAAAATCGGTAAGTAATAACAAGTAAAATAATCAGTAAGACCATTTAAGTTTGTACAGTATAATCTAATACGTTTAAACGAGCAATTCTTGTATATATTTATGTACATATATAGATTAACTGGGTAAGTCGATCTAAATACTTTAAGGGGTTGTAGTTGCCAACATTTCTGATAGATTTCACTCTGAAATACGATATCCCAAAAAGTAATCATTTTTCGATATATTGCACTTTAAATATTTTTTTAAAAATCACCGAAATTTTGACTAATATTTTTTTTTAGAACTTTTATCCTTTATTTTATGCTTTTTTTCACTGTTTTTGTGAAGTTGATAAATTGTTTTATAATTTCAATTGCTAAAATTGTAGTTAACTTAAGAAACTACGGACCGAAATAAATGGTTAATAATAGGCAATATAAATCTTTTTGTAAAAAAATACTCTTTGACGAATATTATAAAAAGAATCCATGACAGTTAAACTGTAGATTAGTTAAAAGACATATACGTATTCTCAGCTATTTAACAATTTATAATAGTCTAGGATAGTATCAGAATTCATAATAAAACTCAGATGAAAGACCGGGGGTGTTAAAATTTAGCGTACAACCTGGTAGTATCTAGTGGAAAACTTGGCTTGTAGTTTTGGACTGTTTCGTTTTATATTCTTGACTAACTATTGCTAAGTGGACTCTGATTTGTGCTTCTGATACTATTGAAGATTACGATCTATACGAACAAGGATTATGCTGATATTATGATTTGTTACGGATATTGGAAACGCATATCCGCATTGGCGCATGGATGAATACATAGCATGCTTTCCCGGTTGTCGAGTACCGTATGTTAGTGTAGGACGGAAACCATCGACAAATTAAGAGTGGCCAGCTCTGTTTCAAGGCGACTATTTGATCTAGGTAGACAAAGTTTCACTAAAGAAGATGACGAAAGAGACAACCAGATAGTTCAACGATTTATATTGGACCCAACAACTTCAACTAATATTGTTGCCTTTTTTTTCTGTGCGGAAATCCCCTCGGATACCACTTACCGAACGCCGTCTCAGGTCCCAGTAGTCGGGGAACCAGGTGTACCCTAGAAAAGAAATCCCTGATCTACCGACATACCTCGGGCCATCTACGGTGGGTAGAAGATCCCCCTGTGTGGGAACCCCCATGTTCCCTCTGTGCTCGCCGCCGCCCTGGCCTGTTTCTGCTAGGGTGACAGATGGCCTCACCTGTCACTGTCACACACACCAGGCCTGCGCTTATGGAGGGTGGAGGTCGTTCTGCAACCTTTGGCGCCTGAGTCGTCTGCGGTACCTGGCCCGTTCCCGAGCCTGGCTTGCAGGGAGAGTCCTAGAACTTAGACTCTCACAATGGAAAGAGTACTGTGAATATTGCGGGCTTATACCCAAATTACTATACGCCACTGGTACAAGTTATTGAAGAAGGAGATACTTTGAAGAGGTTGGATTTCTGCAGATTTATGCTTAATGTATATTTAGAAGACCCGTTTTTTGTTTCTGAGATATTTCATGGACATGAGTCCAAATTAGATAAAAACTGTATACCTAACCAATTACCTCAGCATTAATTATATTATTGGGCTCCAAAAGCACTGATAAATCTAATACACACCGATAAAGAGGCCAAAAAGACGCTTCAATTTGAATGTGTAGATGGGTATTTGCAAACCACTGGACTGGATGTTCTATTCTCCCCGAGAACACAGTACGAAACAGTACGAAAGTTTTTTGGGAACGAAATATAACTAACTGAATTGATGATTTACAGTTTATTTTTTTACATTTTTTAAAATTATTACTATTTATCTACTTTGGCCCAGTTTGTTAGGTTAACTACAATTGTATTAATTGAAATTATAAATCAATTTATCAACTACACAAAAACAGTAAAAAAAAGCATAAATAAAGGATTTAAGTTAAAAAAAATTGTATTAGGCAAAATTTCAGCGATTTTTATAAAAATGTTAAAAGTCCAATATCTTGCAAAATTGTTATTTTTGGGATATGGTATTTCGTAGTGAAATCTATCAGAAATGATGGCAACTATAACCCCTTAAAGTGAATCGATTAATCGATTAGCTAGGTTTCATTTATAGAAAATTTACTAAAAAAAAAAAACGTTTTTTTACCAAAATACCTCGGTCGTCCAGGTACTTTACGTTTAAATGTAATTATAAACATGATGCACGAGAATAAAAGACTCGACAGTATCTGTTTAATGTTATAATAAATAGTAAGAAATATCCTCAGTATGTGTACGAAATCTGTCACTTGCAGCAATTTATGTTTTCTTTTGTAGTAAAAATAGGTCAGTAGACAGCATGCTACTTTTTTAAAAATGTGCCAAATATAACTGAAAATTTACGTTTAAAAGTAAAACTACTTTCGATAGCCTCCCTTGTTATGCAGCTATTTTCTCTTAATTACAAAAAAGCAGAGACAGTCTGTATTCGTTGTTTCCTTTTAAGATTCTCTGAAGCTCTTTCTCATGTATTTGAATATGTAACTCTGTGTCAGCTGTGACCTAGTTTACCATCAGAAGGGTTATCTGACTGTTACCATAATATCAAATAACATCCGTCATATAAAATTTAATTATATGGTTTAATTATATGAAATTTTCGTGATTAACTCTAAAAAATAATAGACAAATTGAAAGCTGAGAACTACGAAATATGTAAACTAAATTATTTTTAAGGTTTATGTTTTGTCCACACAGGTAGAAGGAATTTCTATTTCAATGAAACTAAAGGGTTCTATTGCCTAAGAAACGACACTACTGATAAGTGTCTACGTGAAACAAAAGGTCGAAAGCATCCTCGTGTCGATCCAGCCGTCGTCGCTAAACTAAGAAAGTTCTTCATCCAGCACAACCAGAGATTCTATGACCTCATTGGTGAAGATCTCGGTTGGCCTGAAGACTAAAGGACTAAGAGTCCATCAACAAATCTGCGATTTGCATATCAAATACATATCGTAAAACATATCACTAGCATATAAGTTTTTTAAAGTCGTTTTATGTATACATCTAGTATAAATTAGAATAAGGAACCTGAACAGATTATTTATTTATGCGTAGCAACATTTTTATTAAACTTAAACATTTTAACAATATCATATATTATATTAAGTAGTCAACTGTTTAGTTGTTATGTGTTTAGTTAATTTAAATGTGATAAAGATTTGGGTTTGAAGGAAACTCAAGAGAGGGATCAAAAGATGTCACGGTTTATGTCATGTTAATTTAAAAGTTAAATTTTATGAGTTTAATAGCAAATTAAAAGTAGGTAATTCGCACTCAATTTTAAAGCACTGATTTGATAGACCGACCCATTGAAAACCTGAGCAATATATTTTTATATACAACTAAGTATTGTATTAATTATACAGCGTTTAATATACAGAATGTGAATTTTTTGATATTTGTGATAATTTCGTTTGTTAGGATTAATGAATTTTATATAGATGTAAGTGATGAAATTTAACATATCAAACCTATGTAATTATGTTCAAAGTTGATGAATGTTGTACATTTTCGCTTACTACTTTAGGTGTTGTAAATTTTGGTCGTGCGTTGTTCTAAATGTGTTTTATTTACTAGTGAATGTGATTTTTCAGATTCTTAGATAGTTAGTCTATGTAGATCCCAAAAATAATCTTCAACAAGTAAAACGAAGCACAAAAAGTTCATGCATTGTGAACCATTCTGAAAAGTTAAAAATATCTGTCGGGGCCAGATTTAAAAATTGATCACTTCATTGGTCAGGCCACTGCATGAAATGGCTAGAAATGGCCGTCAGTCTTAAACGTTGTTTAAAACAACTGATGGTGTTTTCCATATCATGAAATACCATTGTTTCATAAAATGGTCCAATATGCACCAAAACCGTGAATTTAAAGAACTGGCACCGACACATCTTTAGCTTATAATTACCATGAAAATGATATACGGAATAAATATAATATATATCTCGGACCTCTGCCGATTTTGAATTTAACTGTAAAATGTCAAAAATTAAACGACAATATTTCTGCCCTTATATGTGTTGTATGTAATTACCTTTAGCGTGTTTTGTTTTTATCAATAGAATAGATAAAACATGCAGTCTATAGTTACTTTACAATTGGTAGCAGTGGTACGACGCGGGTTTTAGAAGTATTCTATTTAAGTGTAACGTCCAAGACTGAAGAGTTAGTTGAATAAGTCTAACTAATACCTATTTAGCATAAAATGTCCATAGGTAATACGCGAGACGGTAAGCCCTGAACACAGCTTTTTAAGGCTTGCACTAGCTTGTAAAATGTGAAACATGGAGTTCACATCAACGTTACCATTCCAAAATATGATTATTTTGTCTATCATGGTTAGTAGTTATTTTTACGTTTTCATATAGGTACAATATTTTTAACTAACTGATAAACATAAAAGTGAGCTGTATATGAAATAAGCCAGTTTAAGGTCATAAAGTTAAGCATCTAAGGTTCGCAGATATATTATTTATTATGTATTTGAATATGTACAAATTTGATTCAAGTTTTAATGAACTAGTAAAGTAACCAAAAATACAAGTACAATAACGAAGAATTATTGTATACGTTTTTTTATTTACGATGACATTAGCCCAAATGCACAATGTATCGGAAATAACAGATGTGTTAAGTAAAATAGTAAAAGATTTGTGAGTGGGAGTGAGAAATTCAATCGATTATGGGTAATATTCCACGCCTTTAATGTTCAAAATTCAAAAAAAAGAAGGCTACTCATTCCATGTATAAGCATGTGTGTTCCTTTCTGAGTAGGCTTTAACGAATTGATATTAAAAATGAGGTCATTTAGTGAAGTCACACCTGGATCTACTTATCTTTCTTGCCAATAATATTATAGAAAAAAAAGTTTATCGCGACCATATTAGATCTCAATGTTTCATGTCTTACAGTATTCGATCTTTGCGAGGCGAAATAAATATCTTTTCGCAAAGTTGACTAAGAACTGTGACGTGTACGGTGTAAGGGTGAAATTATTTTAAGTAGAATATTTGCTTCCAAAATCCAGAATCAACGAATATTTATATGTTTTAGTGTCCCTTTTATTGACGCATTCACGCAATATGTACGTGAAGGCAAGTCGAAGTCCTATTTAAAAAGTGACATATTTATAAAAGACATAAGCACTTGTGCGTACTTTAAGCAACTGTTTGGAATAAATTCAATCACATAAAACAGAAGAAAAATTTAGTTTCGAGACCAACGGCGACTCTTTTTCAAAACGTTTGACGACGCGGAAGCTCAACTAAAAATACCTAGATATGTGATAAAATTACTATTTTCGATAAACTGCTAATTTTGTACAAGTTTGCTAACAACCAAGCCCATTTCGCATTCATAAAACAAACTAAAACTGTGTCTAAGAATCGATAGCTATGATCAAGAGAATGAAACGATGAAAAAAGAGTCTGCTGAGTGTATAGGTGTCCTTTCTGTCTACAACTGTGATTGAAGACTGTTTCAAACCGTTACTAAAAACAAGAATATCAAACATATCTAAAAATCAATATTAGTAGTTAAGTTTAGAATAAGTAAGAACTCTATTCAATTAATATTTTAAGTAATAAGTTTTTTGGTTATTAGGTATTCATTAGTTAATAGATAAATTTAATCACTGTTAAATGTTGTGCACGTACATAAGAAGTAGTTAAAGTTTTAATTAGGGCAATAATTTTTATAGTTATTAATAAAATAATTTAGAGTTTTCAAAAGATATAATTCATTACGCATAAATTACTTTGAATTAATTTGTAAGTTATTTATTATAGGGTAGTCATGTGGAAATTTATTACATTATATTTTTATAAAATAGATGTCTTTATTTTAACTGACACTACATATTTACCATTTAATTATTATTTAATTACTAAAGATTTTAACCTTGTTTCGCCGTATACATTTAGGAAAGTATATGACAAAATGTCGTTTTTGCCAAACTGACCACAAAGAGCAAGTAAAAAGCCCTCTTGTGTCTAACTAATAATGTGTCAATATTCTAACAATGTAAACACATTCCTAGCTAAAGTGTTACGAGTACTTCACGTGCAAAAGTACATTTTGTAACATATTACCACGAAACATATTGCAAGTTTCATTGAAGGCAAAGTACAGAATTATCAATTTCTTTTTAAAGTAATATAAAGTAGGAATTCGTTCGTTTGTCGTTTGTTTATAAATTTCTGTTAAAGGTATTCATTGCATGAAACTGCCCTATTATGTGTATTTTCAAACATTACTTTTTCATACTTTCATCTTTATTGTACATTCTTATTCTTACTACTTTAGATTGTTTTTCGGTTTAACGCAGTTTTAAAAGTATTAACTAAATGTTACCTTAATCCTTGTAAATATCTACTTAATCTCCTTCTGTAAGTTACATTGTACCTATATCTTCAATAAAATAAAATATAAAGAAAACCATTAATTTTTTATTTCAGCTTCCCAAACTATCGTTAGTCTGTCTACTGAAATAAAGCCCGAATGATAGAATGAGTTTAAAAAAAATTAGTATCAGCAAAGCTATTGCATAAAATATAAATCTAGATATGTTGGAACGGTGTCTACTATTCGAACCATTCGAAGATATATAGTATCATCTCTCTCCATATAAATATTGGTATGCATGAATATGTCAAGTGCCTGTTGATTATGACATGTAAGTGTATTTAAAAAATATCTTTAAAGGTCTTGGAGCCTATATTTTTTTTATAAGTTTGACACAGTTACATTGAAATCAACACCACTATATGTGTGCATTTAAAAGTTGAACCCTGAGTTCGAATGTAAAATACATTATTTTTTGCTTAAGAACAGTTCTTCTACATAAGTAACCAAGAACATTTCTTGACCTGAAAACCGGTCTCGACCATTAGCATCAATCACTTGAAGAGGGCAATTTTAAATTCTCTGAGGGCATACGGAAGCACATCGATCGATTGATGTTGGATCACTTAAAAAATATCCGGACACCCGGGTAGGGTCAACAAGTACGTCTGAACTGGGATCTTTGTTATTTTAGGGTCTAGTTCATAATATCGCCAGTCACTATTTCAATCGTCGCTGTATCAAAAACGTTCCATCGACAGGTTACTGTAGCGAGAGATCATCGATATGGGGTATATCGATGATACGTTACATCCCCAGGACACCATATCGACGGTACGCTGCATAGACAGGACACCATATCGACGATCGCTGCATCGACACGACACCATATCGATGGTACGCTGCATGGACAGTTCACCATATCGATGGTCGCTGCATCGACAGCCCTATTTAAGCTATACCCAAATACTTAAAGGATTTAATAAACATATTATTAAAAAAGATTTTAAAGGTTTTATTATGATAATCACAACTATATTTTGTAACTCACATTGGTACTTATATATTTAGTTATAGTTTAGTTATATAATTACTTAAAAAAAACATATGATTGTTTTATACCATCAAAAAAAAACATTTAAATAATTATAAACTTTTTCAATAGTACTTAAAATAAAAATAATTCGAAAATAATGAATGTTTTTCTAGAAATCGCAAGCGAAATGCTTTATCGCTACACTAATAAATAACAGTCCGTGTGGTGACGGATTAAGAATACAGAGTGTCACCACCCCTATTCATCCCGTGGGTGTCGTAAGAGGCGACTAAGGAAGCAAACTACGCAGGACAACAGCACTGCATAGAGTAGGAAAACTTGACACAAACCCTGTACCAACCCGTCTGGCCAGCGTGGTATAGTAGGCCAAAACCTCCTTTCTAAGGAGAGGACTATGTCCAGCAGTTGACTATTATTATAGGCTGTTGATGTGTTGATGTAATTAGAAGTAGAATTACCGTATTAAGAAATAGTTCACGGCAATATCAAACTTTTTTGT